TGCGAAACCGCCGCCGATAATCAGTGTAGAGATGTTGGAAGATACCTTCCAGGGTATCGTCTTAAGTTTCGATGGCGCTGCGAAGACGTCTACCCGGCAAGGTAGCTGTGGTTGTATTTTGTGGGAACTCCCTGGATGGAAAATCCTGGATGCACAGGGTTTCATTCTGGAGGATGTCACTGTGAATGACGCCGAGTACTGTGGACTTCTGAATGGTTTAACCATGGCACAGGCCAGGGGCGTCAGAGACTTGATTGCTGTGGGTGATTCACGAATCGTCATTCAGCAAGTACAGGGCTGATCAATTGTAATCAGCCTAACTTGCAAAGGCGATTGGCCAGCTGTGAGGCATTGAAAGCAAAGTTCGACTCGGTGAGACTGGTGCACGTCAAGCGAGACTTCAATCAGACAGCAGATTACCTTACTTCCAAGACACTGTTGCTTGGAAGATCCTGGAGTGTCCAAGAAGATGGAGAACGTCAACACCTGGAACGATTATCCAAGATTCAAGAGAAGTTGATGAAGCCACCTGGTGACTGGTCACTCAGGATTCGTTGTCACCCAGGATGAAGAAAGTTGCCCATGCGACCCTGGATGCCCCTCTGCCCTGGATGTCATGGCAGCTCCACTGCAACGCGCAGCCAGAATCTTGGTCGCCGTGACGCGGGCTAATGCCCGAGACCAACAAGTGTCATCAGAACCTCTCGACCCTTTGGATTACCAGCGAGAAAGGTGGCGGCGGATTAAGACGCGCCAGGAACAGGATGAATATCTGTGCGACTTAAGAGATTTCCTGAATGGAGAAGTCGATCGTTTCACTTCACACAGGTTGCGGAAGATCGCCAAAGTCGCAGACTTGTTCGCCCTGGACGCTCGCAGCGTACTGTATCGGTTAGCCCAATCTACCCGAGGCAGACCCCGAGACGCTCAGGATGAATTACGACTGGTGGTACCCAGCACCCTGAGAGAGGACATCTTGCACTATGCCCATGAAGATTTTCAGGGTGGACACCAGGGCATCAAGCGGACTCACGAAAAATTGCGCTCTGAGTTCTATTGGCCCGGGATGTATGCCGATGTGGAACGGCATGTAAAGGAGTGTGTGGATTGTGCGAGTGGTAAAGGACATCCATCTAACCCTGGTCCGTCTCTTGGAAACATTGAACCAAGACGGCCATTTGAGGTGGTCTCGATGAATTCCGTGACACACATGCCGAAATCAGAGCGGGGAAACACTTTCCTGCTCT